GGGGCTGCCTGTGCCTGCAATGTGTGGCGCCGGCCATGGGGCAGGTGAGGGGCCACTTTTCCCCATGCTCAGCGCCAACTTCTTCCCTGCCAGCAAGCAAGGGGCCGGGGCTGTGTGCTGCCGCTTGCCTGAACCACAGGGCTGGTGGGTACTGGATGAGGGGGCGGGGAGCCAGTGGGAGCACAGGGCCTACACAGGTGTCCCGGGGCCAGTGCTGGTGGGGCCCAGAGCAGGGTGGCAGGAGCGCAGGGTCCCAGCTGGCAGGGGCTCTATGGAGCTGGGCCAGCTCCCCACTCCCTGCTGGTGCAGCCTAGCCCGGCTCCACAGACCCTTGCCAGCCTGTGCCCCACTGGTGCTGGCCCTGGGACATTGGTCCCAAGACACTGGGACATTGATCCCAAGATGGTGACCAGGGGGTGGGGCATATGTCAAGGAGTGGGGCACCTGTCAAGGGGCAGGGCTAGCCATGCGGCCCTCAACAGCCTGCCAAAACTGGGTAAGCAGCCCTCCGCTCAAAATATTTGCCCACCCCTGCTCTAGTGCTATTCTTTGCTGATATTTATGCTCAGGAAGTCAAAGCTTTCCAATCCAACATAGGCTGCCATCTTTTTGAGTTGCACATTGCCGATTTAAAGATAGGGCTCCACACATGGAATAAAGTTACAGAACAGAATAGCCAAAGTTCTGTCAGAGTTTGCAGGCTGATTAAAAAAAATAGAAAAAGCTATTGTCAGAACTGTGAAGCAGTGGAACTTCAAAATATGCCAGATTTTTCATTATGAAGACCTGTTTTTGGGGTGTAGAGGAGTTCTAGTAAAGGCCTTGCTCCAGTCTAAATCCTATTTCCCCTATTAGTAGTCTAAGTGGTTTGGGTCCTGAAAGATTCCTTCTTCCTTCAGAAAGAGTTCACAGCGCAGTAAGATTCATCTGACAGCATTGCAAAGCCAGGATTTTTAGAAATGGATGTCAGAGATGTTTCCATGCCAAGTGCTCAACGCTTTTGAAAGTCAAACCCATTTAAGGTGTTGAGCTGGGCACTTGTTTTTAATGCCCTGGCCTCAGTGGCTTGCTTGCCCCTACAAGAGCCACAGCACTATTAGCACAAACGCTTATTTATGACTACTGAAAAATCAAGTCTTACCTATGGGTTTCATTATTGATTTCTAGAATCAGTCAGAAGCCTTTACTGATATATTCTGTATTTTCAGAAGCCTGAGCTCTTCAGCTGCAAGTAAACTTTATTTAGTCCACACTCAGGATTTCCAAATAATTACGGCGTTCGGCAGAATATCTGATAGGCGCAAGGTATTTAGCACAGCTGGAAACATAGGCTTAATGACCCAAAGGGCCAAGTAGTAATAAGAATGTATTCAGATATAAACAAAGTGGGTAATAAAACATGCAATGTGGAAATAAGTAAACAAGGACTAAGTTTTCAGCCACTGCTACTACTTCAGAGCTATGGCTCATCATGTTAAACACATCTTACTAAACTAAGGTCTTGTCTAATCCTCTTGAGTGATTACTCTGAGAGGAATGAAAATCTTAGACTAACAAGAACATTCTGCTTCCTCTGATCTCTAAGACAGAGTCTAACATCCACATCAAGGTACAAGCAAGATCTGAACTGTAGCTAGGCCTCCATCTACCTTATCATTACAGTAATAATTCCTAAAAATGCTCTGTTCAATACTTTGGCGAAAAGATGTTATAAAAATCCTCTGTGGCATGTGAGGAAGATGTAAAGTTTTTCAGTAAGGGAGATTCAGGTGGCAGGTAAGTGTACAATATTTGCAGAGTCTGTATTGCTGATGTTCAGGTATCTGGGGGTGTCACACAAACATAGTATAACTATTGCAAGCTTTGTTACAAGGCACGGGATCTCCTCCACTGTTAAGAATTAGATGAGCCTAACGTTAAGAATTAGACCAAGGATGGGGAAGGGGCCAAAAAAATCCCTGACTGTTGTGGGATTTGCATTACTCTGTCCAAGAGCAATCCTACCTGCTAGTGGCAGAATATGAGTTTGCAAGAATTATATATTGCTGATGATCTGGGCTGGAAAAAAAACCCGCCAAGTTACTTGTTACCCATTAGCTCAAAGTTAGTGTGAAAAACCCTTGTGCTATTATCTCTTTAGCAATTAGAAGGGAAAATCTCCCTTCTGAAACAGTCCTGCTCCATTTACTGTTATTAAATGAAAGTACGAAGATTGTCAATTAGCTTTCTAGTTAATAAAACTTCTCGCAAACTGTTTCTGGCTCTTACTTTTGGGATTTACTCTTTTCCTACCTGGCTCCCTTTTTTCTTGTGGTCTTTCCATAATACCATACTTCCTGTGTTGTTTTCAGTATCAGCTTCCTCACTGCCTCCCCATCTGTGCAGCCTCCTACAGCATGCAAGCCCTGGGGACAAGGATTGTCTTTTCTGACAATGCCCAGCATTACAAGGCCCCAGACATCTGAGAACAACAATAATGTAAACTTTTACCATTACTCCACCTTCTCTCCTCAGGCAAGGGATATTTTTCATCTCTCATGTCTCCCTGTCTTCCAATTACACGCACCCTCCTGCTTCTTCATATAAAAAGGCTTTTCCAGACACCTAACAGCTAACACCCTGGGGCCAGTAACAATGGCCAGCTAGGAACCTAAACTCTCCCAACTCTTCCCTGAATAAAGTTGATTGGCTTCCTACTGGGAAGCTGCTGTTGCTAGACCAAGCTTGACAGTTCAATCTTTGTAGACTATAGCTCATATATGTTTTGTAAGTTTGCAGACATCTTCTCCACTGGGTGCTGGAAGGAAGAAAGCAACAGTCTCTCTCCACATCTGGGCCCAAAGCCCAGCAACAGCTAATTCATCCAATGTATAGGTCTCCTTCCACGTAACATTCAAGGATCCTTCTTCCCAGTCAATAGCCTGCCCATTCTTGTATCTTTCTCAGGTTTCAGCAGAGGAAGTTTCACCTGGAACACTTTCATGCCAGTTTTGCCTCAAAAGATCCGAAGAGCCACAGTTAAAACTGACCAGCTTGGTCAAATGTTCCCTTTGTGGTATTGGCAAGATAAGCAGAGGCACTGAAGTCAGCAGTCCTGAGTCAGCATTGCATTAGAACACTTGATTTCTATTTGTAAGGCTCACCTTTCAACCATATGGGCTATAATTTTTTTTAGCCACATAAAACAATCAAGGCTTAGAACAAACAAGCAAACCCAAACAGCCTTCCTGCATAGTACAGACAAGTGACTTTCATAAGCCCTACTGACTAGTGGTACTGCAACTTGTCTGTAGAAGTAAAAATGATCCACTTGTTCTCATGAAAATTTTAAATAGCTAAGATTCAGGACTTGAATACAGGTATTAGATGCACTTCTATTTTGAAAAATGATTAATAAAAAATGCTATAAATTTCATGAATTTTTTTGGTTTTTGTCTCTCAGCTCCCAGCTTATACTATATACAAGGTTGCAATTAAAAAGGTGTTTTTCCCTACTGCAAGTCCAACAAAATGATTACAGTCTGACAGCTGAGCCAGAATGTATTAAAGATTTTGCAGACAAAATCAGGCTCAGAGGGACACCTGGGCAATCTGATAATCAAAATAACTCTTTGGTTGATGTACAAGATGGAATAGTGCTCAGTTTTTCTAAGCGTGCTGACTCTGCAGCACCAAATGCTTATTTTTAGTCACTAGTGGAAAATAGAGCTCATTCAATATACAAAAGAAGTACTGCTGAAAAAAACGGAACTTCACTTTCCAAACAGTCACTTTTCAGAAGCAATGCATTAATTCAGTGAACACTTCAGTCACTGATTTTGTAAACAGCTCTTAAGCTTCCTTTCTCCACTCAGAAATCTGCTTTTGTACAGAGTCCAATGGGCTTTGGAAGAGGCTTGATGTAAATGCTGGCATTAAATGCTTGTTACATCCACATGTCTAGAGAAGTTTCACTATACAAGGATGCATGAAGTGAGGTATCAAAGCAAAACCATTCCCTTTGCTCCCTGTTTGCTCACACACTGACCTGTACAGTACATGGGCCCTCATCTAAAATTTCTCTCTTAAAAATAGAAAAAGTGTGTTACTCACTTGCCTCCCTGTTCTGCAATGTGCTCAAATTGATTAAAGATTAAGTAGTTTATAATCAATAAGACTAAATACCAGATTCAGACCACTTAAATTAAAAAAAAAACCCAACAACCCAAGAATTAAATCAGTAAAACCTCAATTGAATGCATAATTTGGAGACTGCAGTTTTGTAAGTTATTGAAACGCTAAGCCCCCTGGGCAGACACTACAGTTAAGATGCAATTAACCAAATAATTACATCATAACCAGGAACCAGCCACGCATTCCAGAAATTAATGGCACAACAAAACAGGAAATAACGGAGAATTATTCCACAAAATGTGTAATTTTGTGGTTTCTACTGCACCTTAAACTGAACATGTGGCAGGTCCCTGCCAGGCAGCCTGATGCTGGCTGCACGGCATAGCTCTGGGAATAGCCCCAGTACACTTTGAAGACTCTAATCCACAATCAGCTGACTCGCATAGTCCCAAGCCTGCATTGGTTCACCAGATACCAACTCGCTGTTGCAGGGGGAGTCTGGGATCATGATGCCTGTATCAGCAAACAATAACAGCGTGATTGGGACCTGATCCCCAATCCCAAAACTGCACAACCTGTCATGCATGTGTGGCATGGCAGAAGACGTGACTGTTGGGATTGTGGAACAGATCCCATTGTGCCATTAAGTGAATATGGGCCAGAAACCTAAATTCATGGAGTTCTTTGGCTCTCTGTTAATGGACAGTGGCAAGAGGATAATTAGGGTAATCTAATCTACCCAAGAGGGTAGATTAGACCAATAATACTTTGCAAGGTTAGGGTTTCAACCCTAAATAACACTGAAATAATATAATGTTTGGTTTGTAAAAGGTAAATGATGCAAACAATTGTCTTAAAGTATTGCTATTCTGAATATATCCTCTAGCTTCTTTTATGCTAACAAAAAAATCCTGAGGTGACTACATTTTTTTGCTCCAAGATCTGTCATCCTTACAACTACGAGGATAATTACTGCTTTTCACAGCTATACGGATGGCAGGTTGTGTCTAAGAGGCAACCACCATTATAAAATTAAAAAAAAATGCAAGAGAGCCTTTGACTGGAAGAATCAGCAGCAATTCATTAGTTTGCAGTAGCATTACAGTAATATTCTGAAGGTAGCTACACCCTGTTCTCTCTAGTCTGTTAGGATAGGGCCATAGCAAGTTTTTACAGGCAGGAGAAGGAAATGCAAGCTATTGACTGAGACACAGCTGGCATAAATACTCATGCACAAGGTTGTTTTCACTTTACATAAGCCCATTTGAATGGAGTTCTTAAGACAAGAAATATAGATTCATATCTATATTGATATAACATAGGGGCATTGATAATTTTGCAGAAAAAGTAGCAGCAACACTGTATCTACTAGGCAAAACTTATATTAGACATGTCAGGTCAGCAAGAGCTACTTAATTTCAAACTGAAATTTACAACTGTCTGTACTCTGTATTACAGCTGAGCAGACTGACAGTGAACAGGTAAATTTAGCTGCCTCTTCTCTCAAAAAAATCCATAAATTAAAATTTGACACATTTGTCATTGCTTCTCTTATTCTATAGTTTAATTATAACCAGTTCTCTGTCAGTAAGTACTCAGCACATGTATTCAGAAAAACTGAGCTGTGATGCTCAATTTTGATGGATCAGAGAAGTTATACACTATTATTACTATTGAAATTTCTCCCCCCAATGTTTGTACCTTGTTATTCAACATACAACTTAATTAATTAATTTCAATTCAGAAAGTGCTCTTGCTTCAGGTCACCTTGACTGGTGCTGGTGATGAGAATGATCCATGAAATAGAGTAAAAATGACTGAGCACATGATGCTCTGTAACGGTCTTCAAAAATGCATGCAAATTTAACAAAAACCCCAAAACTTACTGTCCAAAACTTTATAAAGTACTGCAAGACTGTAGCAGCAACGAACAGACAGTATAGTAAGGAGTACATTAAAAACAGGAGGAAGAATTTGTAGTTAGAAAATCCCACGCAGTTATTCACCCTAGAAAAGAGAGAGACAGAGACCAATAGGTTAGCAAGATATATCCATCTGTGAAGTGTTACTGTTTGTTTCCAGCAGGCTATCAATTGGAACAATTTCTTCCAATCAAAAAACAGATACTAAAAACAAGCAAACCAACTCAGAAACATTTTAAAATCTACATTTTAAACAGTGTCTTCCCTCAGGTATGTGACCTAGGTATCTCTCCCAACCTCCCCCTCCTGTCCACCAGCTTTGCTGAACAAAACTCAGCTGGCAACAAGCACCATTTTAGGCATTTTTTGTTACGTAAAGTATCAATCTGGCAAAAGGTCATGTCATGCTTCCTGTCAGAAATTAGGGGCCTACTCCACTGAAGGTAATGGGACCTTCAGTGGGTGTTATGTAAGGCCCTAGAACACCTATAATAATGGCTACCCTTGCTAGCATTATTGGCTTGGACAACGCAGCATGTTTACTTCATTTCATGATACTGAACAGACACTGAATGCCAAGGTTTTATTTCCTGCACTCCAGAAACCTAAGTGAAAACAATATCAGAAATCCCAGTGAACTAATCCTATGTGATAGCTGTGTGCAATTCAATTCCTACATGAAGTCAGTCAATTAAGTAACAGATGGTTGCTATTTTTTTGCCATACACAGTATTCAACTAAGCACAACTAAAGAGCAGCTCATCAGTATCTCATCTCTTTTAAAACTGGTCATCTCTTTTGTGTATTAACACATAAGATCATTAAACTAAATATATTTTTATTTTCTTAGACCCCCAATCCCAATCTATTGCATGCAAATCAGACATGAGGGGGAAAATGCTGTTTCTCATTTACATATGCCATAATATAGAGAAATTCCACTGAAATAAGTGGATTTGTTCTATACTTAGATCTGCCTAACAGAATGTAGAGCTGACCCATTGTTTTCATGAGTTATGGTAATTAAAAAAAACAAAAAACCATACCAAGGACAATGATGGTCCATTTTTAGTACACATCTGAAAAAGAAAAAGGCCTTTTTCAATAAAAACATACACTTTATTTTTAAAATCATTTGGCCTAGAATTTCCTCCAGATCCACAATAACTTTTTAATTTTATTTTTTTACTTATCAACTCTGTCCTTCCAAGTACAGCCCCCATATCAGAGTTTGCCATACCTCCCAGGAAGACTAGATGGGACTAAAAAGAGCCAGTCAAAAAAGCCCCTTTAAATCAACAAGGGCTGCTATTCAGCAACACAAAGTACCCTCTGTTTTCACAGACCATATACACTACTTTTACAGAGCACCAAGTCACTTCATCATTGGTGTATGACATTGGAAATTCATCATTTTATAAAGATTGATTTAAAAATCAGCACTCTCTAGAGCTACTGTAGATAAATACTGTAGTGTGGCACTCGATCAAGTATATTAAACGCCAAACAGAAAAAGAGCTTTGGGTGCATGGAAGAAGATGAAGAAAGTATGTAAATCACTTCAGTGGTTTATATTCCATTTTCTCCCTGCTTTGAATTTGCTATCCTTTGGCTTTGCCGTACTAAACAAGCACATGCATTCATTAGGTTTCTCACTATGCTTCATATTAGCTGCAAGACTAACATGCAATGTTCACCAGGTTTCTTAATCAAAATTTTCCCAAGTTTATCTTCTGAAGTCTATTTTACAGTTTCCCCAGTCTCTAGTAGCCTACAACATAGATTTTTTTGGTGCAGCAAGAGTCATCTAGAGAATAATAGAGACCTCTGAAGCAATGAAAATCTTCAATTATACTGTAACTCCCCTAAAACAACATTGTAACTCCTATAGCATAAACATACATGACTAGAACAGGAGCAGGCTAGCACTCAGTTATACAACAGAAACTTCTGGTGGCACTTCTCCCACAGACTGGACTCCCTCCACTCAAATAAGATCTTTTAGAGTGAATGCATTTTACAAAAAATTCTGCCCTATGGTCTGTAAGCCTTCATATTTACTAGAACTGCTGCAGTTCCAGTATAGGTAATGCAGATTTTCACTATTTACACGAAACCCAGCTCTAAGATCTGGTAGATGGACGAGACTGTAGACCTACCATTATGCAGACTGGCACACGGTGAAAAAAGGCACACATTTATAAAATAAGAATTCAAACAGGAGACCACAATTACTTACACATCACATGCAGAACAGTGGTGACAGCGATCAGGTTTGATGAGTTGGCATCGATCACAGTATCTGATGGCTGTGTCCAAATTTTAAAAGTCAATTTATTAAATAGTTCTTTGTAAAGTTAAATTACACACATTAAATTCTCTATTGCTTCATAGCAGAAATCTCATCTTAAAAGATGGTCTCAAAAGACATCTCCTTCTCCCATTCTTGGACCTGCCCACTCTGAATCGTATCAGATTGCTATGGCAACAAGAGTCCAAAGGGGAAAAATGTAATAGTAGACTTAGCTTTATCCATTGCAATATTTTATTGTTTTGTTTTTAGTTCAATGTGTTCTGTTCCCCCACTTCCATGATTCTCTAGCAGAGGGGTGCTCAACCCCCAGCCTGTGGGCCAGACCTAGTTCACAGAGCCAAATTATCTAGTCCACCATGCTGCCCGTGGGTCCAAAAATTTGGCACAGTAAGTGGTGGCAACATTAACTGCCATTTCCCTGCTGCCATATTTCAGGATCCATGCCCCCGCACCCCCAAGAGCTGGGTATGTAACTGGGCACTCTACATCAGGCACACAGGGCCCGATCCTGGTGCCAACACCACAGGTGATCTGGCCCACAGACTGCCCCTGCACCACTCATCTGGCCCACAGGGCTGAAAGGCTGAGCACCTCTTTTAGCACATGCTTCCCTGATGCTTCATTTCTTCTTTTTTGGACACGTTACCAGATACCTAGTCCCCATGCTGCTCTTGACATACTGCCTGATATCTTTATTCCTTTCTCCAGGGGCATCCCATCTCTCTCTCTCTTTGAAGGTAAGCTTTTTAACTTTCCTACTCTCTAGTAGTCCTCTACTCAGATACTTCAGCTGGCTTCTCCTCCTCTTCCTGGACTCAGATCCAAGTCAAAATGATGCATTTCTTCAACGCAAAACTGAGTATGACTTTCTACAGGAAATGTTAAGTTACAAAATGTTCTACCTAAATTAAATCTCAGATCCTTGGATAAACCTTCAATACTACTAGCTTTAGGGTACTGAAGTATTTATAAAAAATTAGCAGTAGTATATTCAGACATCAGAGGAAGTCATTCATATTCTCATATTTTCAGAGAATCTAAACAGTGATTTTTAATAATCACTCTTTATGATCCTTCAGCTACTTTTGCATTTACTTTTCATATTAACTTTCCAAACAACTCTGTACAGAGAATTATGGTTCATAGTGGAAGCAGAATTCACTAATTCTTTAGCTTCTCTACTCCCAGATAAAACATTGTAGTGAAAATAAATACAAGCCTTAACTATATGCTTTCTATAATTGGGACGGAATAAAAATAGAGATTAAAATTCAGCCTTCCCACTCTGTTTCTTTAATCTATTTAACATTATGGCAGGCAGACTGCAATGTAAATATTTTCATGATAAATTTGTTATTGAAGAAGGATGTTTTCAAGAAAATTATTCTATTTATTAAGATTCACAGACAAAGTACTCTGGCATCTCATCAGGCAACATGAAGTTATGGCCTTTCAGTATTTGTTTAGCAGATGGTCGACATAGCATCAATAAGTTTTACTGAATTAGATTAACATTTTTTTGTGCACCTCACCCCTTGATGCTGTTGTGGTATAGATAGGCAAGTCTTTAGCAGCTCTTCGCAAAATTTCTTGCTGGGATTCTGGTCTCTCTTCTCTTTCGTATTGTTCTTTATCAGCTTTTGACAAGCAAAACTGCAAACAAACAAAAAAAAAAGGATGAAGATTTGTTTTGATTTTAATCTCTCAGCTAAAATACACATTTTAAATGCTTCACCTCTAATGAGGCAGTAACATCTGCTTATAACGTTCCCAAACACGGTGTTGTGGGTAGTAAGTAATATAAGGTCAAACAAGAATCATGTTCCACATAGTCTGAAAATACATGGATTGGCTCTGTGTACCTGAGCTTTTATAATGTTTGAATTTTCCCTAGTTACAGCTACTCAGTTTCCCTTTGCAATGAAGAAAGTACATGACTTCACCCTGTACTAGATCGAGTTTTATAAAGCCATACATTTAATCTCTTCCCAGTGACATTTATGAATCTCTGACTTCAGAGGGCTTTGCAAGAGCTACTTGCTGCTGCAAAGAGGAGTCAGGCTCCATGGCTGCTGTGCAATCTCTAACCTGCTGGGGGAGAAGGTCCAGAAGGAATAAGAAACATTTTCTAAGAGTTGGGAAAAATGCTTATATTTTCACAGCTGCAACTCAGCTGAATGGATATGGCTGGCACATTTAATAAGACCAGTGATGGTCTCAAGCCCCATCAGCTAATACCAAGGGATTGACTTCAGTGACATCTCAACATAGCTCTTAGGAAGAATTACAAAGCTTGCATAAAGTAAAAAAAAAAAAAGAGCCATACAAGGCCTCACTGAATTAGCAGCTTTACCAGAATAAATCTGGAGAATTTGTAACCACTTACGAAACAGATTTTTTAACACTCACTAGTAGTATACATTTCAGCACTATGTCCCATGGTGTTCAAATCAGTTCCAACAGGGTATGGCCCACAATGTTCTTTGTTCCAAATCATGCAACATCCTTCTAAACTTTGAGCTTCTGGCAAGAACCACCTGAAGGCAGTCTTGTTTTGGCTGTGTGTGCTGACTGTTAAAATACCCCCATGTCTATACAGCAAAGGGAAGATGCTCTCTTGGAAGCATTGGCAGTTTTGATCATTTTAGCCATACTTTACCTCCAATTATCTCTGAATGATCAGTTTGTATGCATTTTCCTGAAATTCTCCATTTTCTTTGGAGTCTCAGTGGTTGGCTGGGTAATAGTGGGGTCAAATGGAGGCAATTTCACTTTTCTTTTTACCGTAGGGAGAGGAAGACGTTGTTGCCTTCTTGTATTACTCCTTAAATTCTGAAAACTGAAGTTTCAAAATATGTCCCATAACTGTGGTCTCTCTGGACATAACCCATTATGTTCATAGGCATCCAAAGTTACAGATCAACAAAATGCTATCTACATTCCACACAAGGTTCCAGTAACTCTCAATGAAACTAGTAACAGAAAGAGTCCCTTTGTTTCCTATCCTTAGAATCTCACATAATGTTGACTGTTCTTCCTTATTACAATTCTGTGGGGATTTAACAGTAGGACAAGAACAACGGTGAGATCTTTTTTTTAGTACAGTAGTAAGATTACAGGTTGCCACTTATTTTGCAAGAATGGGTAATTTAAATGACCAAAATGCATATATTTGAATTCCTATACAATGGAAAAACATTAAATCAGATTTAAAACAGCTCAAAGAATGATATATGCCCTCTTATATCTTGCTGGGATCCTACGACCCCAGCTGACTTCCTGCCCTTTGGGCAGGGGCTGGACTCTATGATCTTCTGAGGTCCCTTCCAGCCCTAATGTCTATGAAATCTATGAAATCTTCTGTGAACATAAGTGACAGACACAGAGGCAGAGAGAAGACTGTGGAGGAAGCTGGCTTTCCAGTAAAAGCCATGCTTAAAAACATATGTATAACCCACAGCTGACACCTAATTTTTCCTCAATTAAAATTGCCAAGTTCTCTCTTAGTCGCATGCCTCGGGGTCTAGGTCACCTCTTTGTCACATACTAGAAGTTGAGACTACGTTGCCACTTATACTGCAGTTAGTTAGAACATAGGTGCCAGTAGGCAGAAGGTTTCTATTAGGGTTATGCAAAACAGCACCGTTTCATTTCGACTTTCATTTCGCTGTTTCAAAGGGACAGTGTTTCATTTAGCTGTTTCAAAGCATGGTTCCGTTTCATTTCGTCGAAACTTTTGATGTGTTTCAACGTTTCACCTATAGGCTAGAATGGGGAAATCACAAAAATGTCTAACTTTGTCATTTCTTGCCTGATTCAGATGAAAATTGCAGAATTGATAGCTTCTTTTAAGGGCATAAAGCCTACCAAGTTTCAAGAAGACAGGTAAAGGGGTTTCTATGAAACTGCACCTCAGACTGTTCAAAGCAAAACTTGTATCACTTGCCGGCAGCAGCAACATGCTGTCATCCCACACGCAGATCCAGGGGCCCGCTCCTCCCAGGAGGAGTCTGGCATAGCCCTGCAGCCCTCCCAGCGGGCACAGGCCCCCAGATCTGTGTGTGGGATGACAGCAGGCTGCCGCTGCCAGTTGGGGCCAACGCCAGCATTGGGTTCTTTCTGGCGCTGGGTGTGGGCTGCGTCAGGCAGACTTGGGTGTTGGCACTGGCTCCAGCTGGCAGCAGCAGCATGCTGTCATCCACATGCTCCATAGCTGGTGACTGTGGCCCTTTAAAAAAAAAAAGCCCCACACTCACCAAATCTGGTAGTTGCGATTCGGGCCTCTAGGCAATTGTGGCAGAACCTCCCTGCGCAGCGTGGGGATTACCCCTCATGGCAGCTTCCCCATGGCGTGGGTGCAGTGTGGCTTGGCAGGGTGCTGCGCACTGTCCTGGAGCTGGAGCAGATCTTTCCGTCAGCCGGAGCTCCAGGTTTGTTTCTCCAGCACTCTGATCATTCCCTCAGCTCCGGGGGCGGGGAGGTGGCGCAGGCCCCTAGTTCTGCAGGCAGGGATGCAGCAGTATGCTGCTGCCAGTTAGGGAAATAGCCCAGAGCTGCCACCATCCCCAGCTGGCAGCAGAAGCCTGCTGTCATCCTGCATCATCCGGGGGCTCACACCCCGCAGGAATAGCTGGGGGAAGCGATCAAGGAGCTGGGGGAAAGACTGGGGAGTCTGGGAATCGAACTGGGGGAATGTTCAGGGACCCAAACTCCCTCAGCCCCCGGCTCGGTTCCCCAGCTGATCGTTTCTCCCAGCTTTTCCGGAGGAAGGGGGAGGGGGGCAGGGCCCCGGATCTGCACGCCAGGTTTCAGCAGGCTACCACGGCAGGCTCGAGCCAGCAGCAGCACCACAGTCTTCCTGTCGCAGAAAGAGCTGGGGGAATGATCAGAGAGCCGGGGAATCAAACTGGGAGCTAGATGTCAATATCAGAGCAGTCCTTCCCCCCTCCTCCCCCTCCCTCTCCTTAGTTTCTGTTTAGCTGCAAGCAAACCCAGCTTCAAATGCTTTAAGTGCCCTTGTTTCATTTCAAAGCTGTTTCGAAGCCTTTCATTTCATTTCGTTTTTGCTGTTTCGAGCTTGAAATGCGTTGAAACAGTTTTGAAATGAAACACCCGTTGAAATTTTGCACAGGCCTAGTTTCTATCACTGAGGCGTCCAGGCAGACAGCAAAAATTATAAACACAGGCTGATGCTTACAGAAGTGTATGCAGTTTGCTGATTCTTGGAGCAACATAGTAGTTCAACTGACAATCTACCAGCCATGCCAACTGCTTCATCATCATCACAGAAAACAGATTCAATTAAGCCAAACATCACTCCCAAGACTAAGCTCCCTGTGAAATAATCTCTTAACCATTCAGTACTTTTGCTCAGTTACACAGCAGAATCTTACTTTGGCTCCCTTCCCAGCTGTAGTCTAGTTTTCAGGAATACACTTGTACATCAGAACAGAAAAAGTATTTTGCTGTTCTACTACCAGCAAGTTTTCAGGTGTAAAAGTCTGTTTCATGCAGAAAGTTCGTATTTAGAAAAGGTCAACCCCACCAAAAATACAACCCCTTCCCCCCCACCAGTCTGTTTAACCAGTTTTAAAATTCCTATAAAAGAATAACAACAGGAAGAAAACCATCATGTCAGACTAATCCATCTAACTGAACCCTTTTGGATACTATTATTAGTTACCTTTCAGTAAAGCTAGCATTTTTACAGTAGTAACATATTATTGTTCATCTTTACATATACAAATTGCTATTAACTACTAAATGCTCTAGCTCCTAATCAATAGGCTTATATTGGGCACTTCAGTTCTCTTAAAGATCTGGGTGCATACTGTATACATTTTCTTACCCAAAAAGGTTATTCATAAGGTTTGAGTGCAGAACTACATGGAAATGCATACAAACTGAATCACTGAATTTGAGATACTGCATTATGCTTTATTTATTCTAAAATACCAAATGAAATCCCCCTATTGCAAAACAGTAGAGCACCATCACAAATACTTACATATCATATTATTCAAGCATAGATGTCCAAATGTTGTCAAACTTGTTGCCAGTTAACAACTACATACATTCAAACTGAAGAAATGCTACTGGGTTGTAAATGAGACAATGGTTTCAAAAAGTAATTTGATGAAACACACTCATGGTATGGCAACATGCTCCACTATTTTAGTTAATGAGAACAGAAAGGTGAATAACACTGCATTTTAAACAAGTGTCGCTACTAACAACAGTTGACCTGTTTATACAAGCAATGACATTTTTCTGACAAATTTACCTCATTGGAGGGGGAAGCGGGAGGTGTAAAAATTGTCTTCCAATAGGACCATACAAACATGACAAACGACAGATGAAAAACCACAAGGTAGACAACTGCAATAAAAATAAATACAAATAAGATTTCAGTGAGAACAGCTGAAAAGAGCAAGAAGTAAAACATAAAAAGCAATGATTTCTGGTGCAGACAAGCTATTTTTCTTCAGTGAGCCAGTAAGATCAATTTCAAAGAAACTTTCATTTCATCCAGAATAGAATTAGCACTGATCAAGAGTGTCTACTTAAATCCACTTCACAGGCCACATGATACGATTCATATGGCATAGGTTACATTAAAATTATGATGATTAAGAACTTGGTCTTGAGGTGATCTCCTAAACAGAATCCCACTTTACTGTAAACACCCGAGTCATCAGGTATAACACTGCTTGTTGACTGCGCCAACCCACCACTTAAAGAAATATGCACTCTGAATCAGGCCACTTAAATGAAAGCCTACAGTGCATCTGCCATGGCCAGATTAACACCCTTCTCCACCACTTTCCCATGTCCCAAAATTAAATCTACATTAAAAGTACACACTTAAATCATCATCTTTGCTAAGAGCAAATGCCAGCTGAACTGTGTTCCTAATGTACAGTATATTTAATCTGTCAGCAAGTGAAAAAGCATCTTATGTTGTAGGCATCATACTAAGAAAAGTTATGGTAGACATGCCAGTACCATAAATGATATTTTATTTCTAGTGGAGCTGACACTATGTGCTAAAGCAAAAGAAAGAAAGAAAAAAAATGCTGTCCTACGTTCAATCTACAAAGAATGTTTACCACATGAATTTTACAACAATTAATATAATAGGTTCCCTGTCTATTCCCATCTTGGAAAGGCTCTTCATAAAATGTTGGTGACTTGATCTAATGGGAATTCTTGATGCAACATTTCATGTATCTAGGAGCATATCCAAATAAGAACTTTTACTTTTATCACTTTTTCTTTCATGTAACTGTGCGGTCATTCTGTTTTCCAGCTGCCAAATCAAAAAAAGAATATCTGTAATTTAAAAAATTGTTGTTATTCCCATAGCATGCTCATGCCTCATTGGTAGGGGAGCAAGCTAGACTCAGCACTGTCAAACCTATACTGAAGAGTAAATGGGAATGACATAAAAAGAAGAGGTGTAGCTAATTTCAAGACCAAATGTGCATGTTCATTTTGATGCATTTGTTATGACTGTATTTTCTCACATACACCATGCCCCAAAAGAAGATACAAATTTTGCTTTTGAAGGAACGATGAAGGGTGGGAGTACCTTTTCTTATAATAAGCAACTGAAGAGCAGCAGAGAGCTGAGTCTGCTTGCTGTCCTGTTCCCTGTCAACTGAGTGCAGACTTTACTTTTGCAACAGAAGCTTTATTCCCTCACTATAATGTGCACTACACTTTCTAGCAGCTGTTTTTTGAAAAAAAAAGTTATATATGTGTCGTACATGAGAAAATATGGTGCTGGACAGCTTCTGGAAGATTCAATCAACAGGATGATCCTTCAAAGAACTCAAGGCTGTGTAGTATTTAAATTATTTCTGGCATCTCTTAAGGATTTTAGTAGGTCATCAACACGGGAGAGGGATGGTGGTTGGATTTCTGAAAGAACTGGGTGTGGCCGCAGCTGAAGAGGCAGCATGCTACTGTCTCACTTTTTAACTTAATGGCTTGTCTAGAGTTAATAGAACAAAGATGGATATCAAGTACTTTGTTAACCCCTAGCATTAGCAGAGGGGAAGGAGACCAAGAGAAGCAGCTGGCATGCAATTCTTGGAAGGAATTTAATGAGGGATATCCAAGGATGGATATAGAATTTGATTAGCTTGCAAAGGTCAAACTAGTCACCCATACAGGTGCAATGAAAGTTTCAGTTAGAGTTCTTCCTTCCTCCAAAAAACTGTCTCTAGGACCAGGCCAAGGCAAGAGAAGTAAAGCAAGCAATAAGCTTGATGTACAGACCCAGGCACAGTTAGTCGCACCTCTTCAGGACATGACCTAGAGCTCATGCTAGCAGGAGGCAGAACCACTGACTGTTGGAACAATGTAGGCAGACTAGTAGTGTACAACTAAGACAGATTTGTACTGTTCCTAAAGGACTGATCTAAGACCAGTGTTTTATTAAAATACTTTAATTAATGACCTGGGCACAAAAAGTAGAAAGGTGGTAATGAAGTTACAGAGGCATTAACAAACTGGAAAAATCACACAGGAAGGGTCAGATGACCTTGAACACTGGAGTTAAACAAATGGGATGACATTTATTAATATAAAATAGAAGGCCATACACTAGGGCAAACCAGAATTTCTGCTATAAGCAAGATGCCTATCAGTTTGAAGTTACACAGGAAAAACCACAGAATGACTGTAAGCTGCCAAAGCAACGTGGCTATGAAAAAGGCAGATGCAACTTTAGGGTACACGAGATGAGGTCGTTGCAGCAGAGATTGGAATTAATAATTAACTGGTCTTTGTACATGGCATTGTGAAGACCTCCTCTGTTATGTGTGTGCAAGTGGTAATTTATGCTCAAGAAACATGAACTCAGACTGGAACAGATGCAAAGAAGGACCGTTATGGTGGTTAGGGGAATGGGCAGCTTTTCTTACAAGGATAGACTTGTTTAATTTAGCAAAATTATATCTATGGGAGAATATGACTACTCGGCATATCATGAGACTAAGTGTCAAGGAAGGAGGAAAACTAAAGTAGACTGGTGGCACAAGAACAAACAGGTCTAAACTTGTTATGAATAAACTTTTGTCTGAAAATGAGGTTTATAACCAGAAGAACAAAGTTCTATAAGAGCCTTCCAAAAGGAGGAGCATGAATAAAAACCAAACTAATTTTAAGATGAAGTGTGATCATTTTACAAATGGCCTTATATGATGCAATTGCTTGTGACAGCAAGGGTCTGAATGTATGACCCAAGAAGTTTCCTCCAGTCCCCATTTCCTGCCAGTTGTTTCCTCTTAACAGTAGGTGGAAACAGCTGTGTGGTGTAAGGCAACTGGCCTCCTAAAAAGGAAGGAACATAAAATATTTACATTATCTTCTGTTCCTTGAAGGGGAAAACTTGACCTATTTCTGTGCATAGCTATACAAAGATCTTTAAAGAAGCTATATTTAATGTTTTAGGAATAGCATGATGCTGACCTTAAGATTGTAGTTTCTACCACCTTTGAATAAAGCAAGCAAGCTTATTCCCTCCTGGCCTTCTTTGTCTTTTTTTTACAATGACAACATTAACCTGATTTGAGCTCTCATGGATTTCTCATCTGCCTTCCTAAGCTTTTTCCTTGTAGAGTCCTTCTGCCCTTATCCGTTGCCTTTTCTGCCTAAAAGAGGAACACTGAAACCATCTTACTGTCAAGGGACAGAGCCAATGGGATTCATTTGACAGAACAAGCAGAAAAAAGCCTTGCATATGGTGCCCTAAAACCTGCAACTCTGTTCCATGAACATGAAACATCTGACAGAGAGGAGATTTAGGTTGGACATCAGGAAGAACTTCTTTACGGTAAGGGTTGCTAGAATCTGGAATGCGCTCCCAGGGGAGGTGGTGCTCTCCCCTACCTTGGGGGTCTTTAAAAGGAGACTAGACAAGCGCCTGGCTGGGGTCATATGACCCCAGCACTCTTTCCTGCCTAGGGCAGGGAGTCAGACTCGATGATCTATTGAGGTCCCTTCAAACTCTAACAACTATAAAACTATGAAATGTCTCAGTGTGCTAGGTACTATACAGCAAGAGATGGTCTTCTCTGACTAGCTTACAATATAGGCTTAGATCACGAATGGCAAAATGGCAGATCTGGCTGGCAGCTGGATTCCATTTCCTAGCAGCCCCTGCCTACATGGCTGGGTCTGGTTTCCATGGAGACTCCAGCAGCAGCCACGCTGTGATAGCGCAAGGCCAGGGTTTCTGTGGAGACTGGCCCCAGCATCATTGGCAGGGTGTGTGGCAGGGCGTGGAGCTGCTCCAGAGTCCAGCTGGGATCTTGCAGCAGTGACAGCATGGTCCAGAACTGGGGCAGAACATGCAGGCTGCAGATAGTGGCTCTGCCCCAGGTCCAGACCATGCTGTCACCGCCGCAAGATCCCAACCAGGTTCTGGAGAGCAGCTCTGCACCCTGCCACATGCCCTGCCAGCAGGGACAGCACTAGGGGGCATGGGGAGGTTATAGCCTTCCCAAAATTCCTTGTAGGCAAAATTCCCTGTAGCTAAGCCTGCCCCACTTCTGCCTGCAGTACAGCACCCCGCCTCCCCACCCCTGGAGGAGGCTGGCACACTGCTGCCTGCCAGTGCTGCTGGGGCTGGTCTCCATGGAAGCCCTGGCCCATGCCATCACAGTGCAGTTGCTCTGGAGTCTCCATGGAAGCTGGCCCCAGCTGCATAGGCAGGAACTGCTGGAAAATGGAGTCCACTGCCGGTCAGACTTTGCCCGCCCCTGGCTTAGACAGAACATGAATAAACTACAAAAATTCCAGGAAAGTGGGTTAATGAAAGTAGTCAAATTGAGGTAAGACAGCAGGGGAAACTCAGAGAATGGGGATGAGATGGAGTAGTAGGGATTGGTAGAGAAGAAAGTGATAGGTCCTGCCCTCCCAGCACCCACCTGATCTAAATATTTTTAATTGGGAGTTAAGAGACTTCAGAAAAGTTACCCCCAAGAATGCAACCTCATCTGAGACTATCTGGCACAAACACTAACTAGAACAATGGAGCCTGGGCTCTTACTGAGGGTCCTCCTGGCACTACTGAAATGCAAATGATAGCTACTAGACTTGATCTTAGCTAAAAGGCCAAGAAGCTAGCTTTGTTGCCAGTACCGAATGGAAAAAGACAGCTTTCAAAGAAATCTAGGAGTTCTTGAACTATTTAAGACAACAAGATGGTGAAGAAGCCTGAAGAGAAGAACATCAACACTGGAGAAGAAGGCAAGCCCTCTGTTGCTACTTGAGGACTTCTCAAGGGAAGCAGAGGCCTTTCAGTTAATTATCCAGAAGATCAGTGTCCAATCATGGATCCCAGAACAGCCTCTTAATTTTGCTCCTGC